GGCCTGCCTATGATCCATCCTGGGTTTAACCAGACTGGATTGTGTGAGGAGCTCACAAATCCTTTAAAGATCTGGGCAAGGTCCCATCGGTGAGCTCCTCCGGCGGGCAAGGCTGCGATGGCTGGGTCATGTAGCCCGCATGCCCAGCCACCGCATGCCGAAACAGCTTTTGTTCGGCCGGATTGAGGGGTCTAAGCGGGCGCGGCACGGGCTAGATAAGATATGGAGTGATATGGTACAGGAGGACGTGGAGCTGAGTGGACTTGCCGATGACTGGTACCAGCGGTGTCAAGATCGGCCTCTGTGGAGGAGGCTCGTGAAGGATGCTACTGGGCAGTTGGAGGCAGTCGCCCTCCAAAAACAACGGAGGGCGGAGGAGCGACGCTCAGAACAACGAGCGGAGCACCGGGTAGCTAAAGCACAGCAGGTTGGCACAGTAGGGGGCACAGGTGGTGCATCAGCCAGTCATCTCAGTCAGTCGACCCGTGGCACCTGGGTCTGCCCCGTGACCTCCTGCCAGTGGGCGTTCGACACTTCACGTGGCCTCAGGGTGCACATAGCCTGGCACAAGCGTCGTGGTGACGTCACCGCCACTTAGTGGCGAATGGCGGTTGTTGTTGTGTTTTACACGTGAGTCTGTGCGTGTACACGTGAGTCTGTCTGTGTACACGTGTCTGTGTGTACACGTGAGTCTGTGTGTGTACACGTGTCTGTGTTTTACACGTGAGTCTGTGCGTGTACACGTGAGTCTGTGTGTGTGACACGTGTCTGTGTGGGTGTACACGTGAGTCTGTGTGTGTACATGTGTCTGTGTGTGTACACGTGTCTGTGTTTTACACGTCTATGTGTACACGTGTCTGTGTTTTACACGTGAGTCTGTGTGTGTACACGTGTCTGTGTTTTACACGTGAGTCTGTGTGTACACGTGAGTCTGTGTGTGGGTGTACACGTGAGTCTGTGTGTGGGTGTACACGTGAGTCAGTGTGTGTGTGTATACACGTGTCTGTGTTTTACTCGTGAGTCTGTGTGTGTACACGTGAGTCTGTGTGTGTACACATGTCTGTGTTTTACACGTGAGCCTGTGTGTACACGTGAGTCTGTGTGTGGGTGTACACGTGAGTCTGTGTGTGTACACGTGTCTGTGTTTTACATGTGAGTCTGTGTGTGTACACGTGTCTGTGTTTTACTCGTGAGTCTGTGTGTGTACACGTGAGTCTGTGTGTGTACACGTGAATCTGTGTGTGTACACGTGAGTCTGTGTGTGGGTGTGTCCACGTCGAGCCAAGCCCCTCCCACTCCCCCACCAGTTACCAGAAGTTGGTCCCAAGACAGAAGAAGTTCCTCTTCTTATCCACTCTGCTGCTGCCCGCACATGGAACTGAAAGTGCAACTGCCTCCCAGATGAACACCACACAGACGTGTTCAGCACACACCCACACACGTGTACACACACACGTGTAGTACACACACACTCGTGTAGTACACACACACTCGTGTACACACACACGTGTACACACACACTCGTGTAGTACACACACACGTGTACACACAGACACACACGTGTACACAACCGCCATTCGCCACTAAGTGGCGGTGACGTCACCAGGACGCTTGTGCCAGGCCATGTGCACCTTGAGGCCACGTGTACACACACACACAGCGTCACACTCAGGAAGATGAAAAAACAAGCCCGTCCCACCCCCTCCCGCATTATCTGATTGGTTACTTAACGGGGCCTGAGACGGTGATTGGTTAGAGGCAGGGCATTGAAGGGGCCAATGGAGGTTGAGATACAAACTGGAAGGAGACAAACGGAGGGGCGATTGGACAGGGGAGGTCAGTTTGGGGATCCGCGAGGGAAAGACTGGGAAGCTGTTGGCTGGAGAGGGGCAGTGGAAGGTGAAGGGAGCAATCGAGGGGGTGGGGCTTGAAGGATATACAGGGACTCCTCTACTTACGAGCAAGTTTGGTTCCAGAGGTAACTGTGTTCGTAAGTCGAATTATCCGTGAGTCCAACTTTAATCCCTGGCGATGCCAAACGTATTGTATGGCACGTAGATAACTACTATACATTATACACTACTACACTACCTTATATACTGCACTATTATACACACTACACTAAAAGGAACTCCTCTACTTACGAGCAAGATAGGTTCAATAAGTCTGTTCTTAAATCGATTTGTTCTTAAGTCCAACTTTCATCCCCCGCGATGCCAAACGTGTTGTTGGCATGTAGAGTACTACTATACATTATACACTACTACAGTACCTTATATACTACAACACTACTATACAGACTACACTACTAGACACACCACACTATTCAGTGACTCCTCTACTTACGAACGAGTTAGGTTCCATAGCTATTGTGTTCAACTTGACTCCTGTCCATTTGACACACTTTGTACGGCATGTACACTGAACACGGGGATGGCTTTAAAAGCTGTATAGTCGGCTGTAGATACCACTGGTTCTTCACGTTCTGCGGATGTAGATGCCACTGGTTCTTCACATTCTGCAGATGTAGATGCCACTGGTTCATCATGCTGTGTAGACGTAGATGCCACCATCACCGCTATCTATTGCGAGGCGGTTGAACTTACGACTCTCGGTCCAAACATGCTGCAACTGGACATACGGGACAGGTTTTGTTCGTATCTCTGAAAGTTGAATGTTCGTAAGTAGATGTACAATCGTAGTGACACCAGATCACAGAAGTCTACTACAACGGGAGTCTTTATTTCATCCAGCAAGGAGACACACGCACACGCAGTCTTCAATGATTCCTTTCACTCCAAACTGTCTTCCATCTCCTTTATAGAGGATGCTTAAAATGTTTTAACACTTATATGGGACTATCGTTTTTAATGGAAAAAGAGCGGATAATAATAGACTGTAACATGATAACAAATGTAATGTTAATAGCTTCAAAAGTCAAAGAGTCTCCCACGTGTTCACCATCGATGTCAACGCGCGCCGGAGGGGCATTTTTTGTGGTATCGTTGCAAATTCTCAGAAGTGTTTAAAACAATAAAAGCACCCTGTACATCCCTTAAGCTCCCTTCCCAAAGGTTCCTTGACCTCCCGCTTTCCATCTCTAGACAGTTTCCTACTCGTTCTCTCACGGATACCCAAACCGACCTCTCCTGTCAATCGCCCCTCCGTTTGCCCGCCTCCACTTCCGTTGTTTATAGCTCGACCTCCAATGCCCCCTTGCACTGCCCTGCCGCTAAACCAGGCCGACCTTTGAGGCCCCCGTCAAGTAGACAATCAGAGAGGGGGGCTTGTTTTTACTTCCTGATTATCCGTGTCACCACGTAGCCACCGCACCTGGTGGATACCTGGTGAAAGTAATGTATTCCTTCAGTTTAACACGTAGGCTTTAGCGACCAGCATTATACCTTGGAATGATCACTCGTTTTCTTTTAAAATATTTAAATATGAAGGGGGGGGGGGGAACCCCGCAAAAGAAGCAAAAATAATGTATAGGCAGATTTTATTTATCCTTCACATATCTGTCTCTCGACTTTTAAAATAATGTTTTGTTGCGAAGTAAAACGCAATTTCCCCCCTCGCCAAGGCCACGCCATTCAGTGCCACCAAACTGGACGGGTATCCGCGCACAGCGGCCTCGTCAGCAGCCCAGGCTCAGCTACAAAACAACGCCGGTGAGCTGCCGGCTGTCCCAGGCACGCAGCCTCCCTTCACGATGGAAGAGTGGGGGGGGGGGGTCTCAGTTCGATGCGTAAAAGTGAGCAATGCATACAAATGTAGTTATCGCCACAACCCTGTCCACGGATAAGACGAGGATATTGTGACTGATGCTCCTGCTGATATGGAGTGACTCATGCAGCCAGCTATGGCTGCAAAGTTTGGTCGTACATGTTATGTAGATATCGTTTATTGTTAAATTTGAATCATAGTTCCTATGATCACTGTTACATTATTTTTATAGCGTTATTTTGGTGATTTTGAAAAGTTTTAGTTTAGCCATGTTTGTTTGTTGTAGTACAGAGTTAGCCTGATCACTTTAATCTAAATCGTCTTATGGTTTGTATTGTTTGACTTGCATCCACTGGGATTTTTGCACACAGCGTTGATATACGGTGCTTTTTCTGGAAGACTTTGCTGTTTTTTCCTGGATTTTTCTGTTGCCTGTAGTCACTTTAAGATGTTTCTTGTTCATGTTTTAGTTTGTTGCGGTTGCACCCGAGTCAAGAGCCGCATGGCTCACAGGGTTATACCTAATACATGCAACTTCAAACTGAAAAAAACGTGAAGCAGTATGGAGGCGCCGATCGATGGTAACCATGAGAGGTGTTTTGTTGGGGGGTTAGATCACGTCAATACAAAATGTTGTGTCGTTAAAACCCGCCACCACCCGACACAGCCAATCCGCGGGGAGGTTTGTCACGTGAACAGAGCGCGGTTACTGTTTGGACGACGTCCAATTCTCCTCCTTCTTTCCCCACTCTCCCTTCTCGCGTTCTCAGCCCGCCCGGCCGCCCTTCAGTCTTGGATATCGCTTCACTTCCCCTGCCATCAACCCCCGCTACAAGCCAGGCTCTCTTTCCCCCCCGACCCGCTGCTCTTTCCTCTCCACCCCCCCCCCCCACGTCACCTCCCCTCCCCCCTTCTCACCCCCCCCCCCGTCCCCTCTGCCCGCATCATCGGTGACCTCTACGACTTCTCCCTTTCCCTCGCCTCCCACATCTCCACCATCACCCGCGCCCGTCGATGCCACCTTATAAACATTCACAAAATACCGCCCTCTCATCACTCAGTCTGCTGCCAAACTACTAGTACACTCCATAATAGAGGTTTTTTGTTTTGTTGGGTTAGATCGCGTAAATATAAAAATGTGCCGTTAAAACCCGCCACCACCCGACACAGCCAACTAGAAAGGGTTGTCACGTAAACAGAACATGCCAATTCGTCACTAGTACAATAATAGTGTGTAGTGTATAGTATAGTGTATAGTAGTGTAGTCTATAGTAGTGTCGTGTATAGTAGTGTAATCTTAAGTAGTGTAGTGTATAGTAGTGGTGTATAGTGTAGTATATTAGTACAGCACACCAGTGTGTTGGAGAGCCAAGCCACAACATTTTCAATCTGAGTACGTTTCTCCAGTAATCACAACCAGCTTCATCAGGCGACAGCCAGATTTGTACACTCACCCACTCTTCCCTCGGCTAGACTACTGCGACTCTCTCCTATTCGGTCTCCCAGCCCCGATGCATTCATTCCTCTACAACAGATCCAAAATGCGTCTGCACGCTTCACCTGCAGCCTACTGCACTGCTCCCACACCTCCGGCTCCCCATCCAACACCCGGTGTCTGTTCAAGCGCCTTATGCTGCCGTACAAATCTCTCAATGGCCTTTGCCCCACCGTTACCTCGCTTCTCTCGTCTCAAACTAAGCCCCCTCCCGCCCGCTCCGCTCTCAACCTCTCCCACCACTCTTCGCCATTCCCCGCCTCTCTCTCTCTCTCCTTGTGCACAATCCACCATATCCGCTCCTTTTCCCCTAATGGCTTCCTTCCACGGCATACAAACTTCCCCTTCCACGTGAAGCGACGGGCAACCCTCCCTGTCTCGTTACTGCTCCTCCCTCAAGACCCCACTCACCTCTTCTCCCTGGCTCATAACCTTCCCTCCATCCCTAGGTGCCCCACGTCATTCCCGTTCCCACTAAACCCCGCCACCCATACCAATCCCCACCACCCCACCCTCTTTCCCCTCTTCCTACTCTCTCATGCCACCACATCACCTTCAGCTAACCTCATTTTACCACTTATAACCGTTGTACAGCACCTTGGATATAAAGGCGCTATGTAAATATAAGACGAGATAAGAGTATCACGTTGAACGAGGCTGTCGTGCAACGGCCAGTGGTGACCTGCGTTTGTATTAAAATGGCCTCGTAATTTGCTCTGTGTGTTTTTCACCAATCGATGTTGTGTCACGTCAAATGAAAAACGACCCCCAAGTGTGCATCTGTTCAATGTTTGCCACGGCATCTGTGACCACAGGCACTACACGCCTCTTGCTCGGAATTCTGGGAAACTTCGATCTGGCGATTGCATTTCTCGCAGCGCCTTTTCCCGAGCTCCGTCACGTGGTACGCTTCGATCCCGTGCTCAAAGCTGAACCCGACGTAGAATTCCACCCTGGTGTTCATGAAACGGCGCCCGTACATGTTCTCCGTCTTGGGCACATAGAAAGCAGTGAAGCCTGGCGACCCGGGGATGCCGGCGTCGATTTCGATCTCTCCGGCCAGCTCGTTGTTGCACTTTTGAATCGTGCCTCGCTTGATCTCAAGCTTGTCCTTTGATTCAGGATTCTTCCAAAACCTTTTCACAGGGTCCCATTCGCCCAGCGTAGTGAAGTGAATGAGCTGGGTGATTCTGTTGCCGTTGTTTTTTCCGAGCCACTCCCTGCACTGCCGGGGTCTGTTGACAAACTTTCTCGCCTTTATCAGCTCGGGGAGCAAGTGGTTAGTTTCGACAAAGCACTTACGGCTCCCACTTGAGTTGTCATTCCCAAGGGCAAGGAGCGCTGTAAGCACGAAGTTGTAGAACTGGGAGTATGGGCTCTTTGCAGAATCATTCCAGGGTCGAATAGAATCCAGAACATGCTCGACTGTGTACGGATCTTCCACCAAGGAGTGCCTTATAACCTGAAGCCACTCTTTCATGTCTGTCTCAAGGCTGTAATCCGCTCCCCTTTCATACACATCACTGAAATTCTTCTCGTACAAGGAGATTATATCCAGAACGTCTTCTTTCGTCGAAATGTCAAGCCAGGACGTGCGCATCGAGCAATCGTGCTTCACCCTGTAAGCCGCAATCTTGCTCCTCCTTCCGAATATACTGTAGCCGTGCCACATCTTCAGGGCAGCGCCTACGTCCTTGAAAATCACTTTGCACCAGTCCACCGCCTTGGAGAAGGCCGGGCTCAGGTCGTCGACCAAACTGTAGCACTCCAGGATCAGAGAATCCACCACAGCCAAGTTCGTCTCCACGATTTCGTTCCGACTTCCCGTTCTCAGAGCGTTCACAATTCCCCCATTCACTTTTTCGCGATTGAATTCCAGGACACTGAGGCGCACCTGGATTTCCTGCAGATAGCCGCACTCCTCGGCGTATCCGGACTTGTAATAGCTTCTGCACGTTTTAAACGCACTGCAGGCAGCCTCTGCCAAGTCATGTACCATATCAAAAGGTATCTTTTGAGCATGCGCAGTTGGACTATGAAACTGCCCAATGAGGTTCGACAGTTCACGCTGATAGACAACGCCTTTCATGTGGTAAAATCGTACCAGTGTGTTGTCTGCTTGTTGCATTTTGGCCGAGCATACGTCAATGGTGGAGCCCGCAGGTGAGCTCTGGTATCTCTCAATTTCTTCCTCTCTGAAGGCAATCGCTTTAGAAATGCAATCATGAGCAGTGGCATATTCTTCGCGTTCCAGTGCATAAAACCTGCCAAGTTGAGCAAGAAAACTGGGATTCCTGGGGAATTTTTCTGCGAGCTTTTGAAGCACTTCTAATCGTTCAGTGTAAGGGTACCGCGATGGAATATCCGATAACAGCATCGACAGGGCGTCTTTTTTAATGCTAAAATTCTCCCGGTTTTGCCGAAAGATAAACGTTGCGACCAAAACAGAGTTCAATTCTCTGGACAGTTTCCCATTTCTTGACTTTTTGCTGATATCGAGGATGAAGTCACGAGCCAACTTCTGGAGGTTTTTTCTGGCCTCCAGGCTCAGTTTCATGCCCGTGTCTCTCGGGTGCCCCTCTGGGCACAACACCTGCTCCAGGATTTCCTTGGCCACAGCGTGCATGTTGATCCTCCACACGTTCGTGCCCTCCTCGCTTATTATGAGGCGCTTTGCCTTGTACGGGAGGTCGGAAAACCTCACGGAACTCCCGTTGCCATTGCCCAGGATCGTCGAAAAGAAATATCCGTGCAGACCGCAGTGCCCGTAGTAGTGGACCAGTGCCAAATAAGCGATGATTTTTTGCCACGGCTCCAGATCCTTGCTTTCGAGGGCCAAATAGCCGGCGACGTACGACTGAAGGCCGCGGTAATTGTAATCCAAGCAGGTGAGTCCAAACATGTATATTTCGTGCATTTTCCCCTCTTCCACGTCCTTCACCAACTGTTGAAGGTTGCCGGCTTTCTCCGGGTAGAATTCCCCAAAGAGCCTCGTCAAGCATCGTGCCTCATTCTCCGTCACGGCGCCCTTGAGGTAGAACTTATCGCCGCGCCCGCAGCTCTCGATCCTTCCGACGAACCTCCGCACTTTCAGCAATATGATGGTCGTGTTGCGCATGCAGGTCTTCAGGAGCATGTCCGTCGTGGCGTCGTCACTGTTGCTGTCGAATAAAAGCACGATTGGAAGGCGCGTATGATTGTGTAGCCAAGAGATGCGTACGTCCGTGTCCTTGGACAGATGATGCAAATACACGCATATCGAATTGTTACTCTCGTGTAGACGCCACAAAATCCCGCGCCCGAGTGTGGTTCCGCCGGCGCCAGGTTCGTGGTGAAGCGTGATCTTGCAAGACCTCCGGATTTGAATTAAGCTTTGGATGCGATTCACAATCTCTTTTTTCACCTGTCCCCTGTCGATGTCGTAGCCGAGGCTGATCTCGTGCCAGGAAATCGTGTGCCCGTGCACGAATTCACTGCCCAGCTTGGACTCGTCAAAGTGCTGGGGCTTGTAGTCGTAATTCCAGTAGAGGACATCGAAATCTTCCCTCAGCCAGATCACGTCTTTCATCTCCACCGTTAACTTCTCGACGCTCTCTTCGCCACTCTTCGGCAGAATGTGGTATTTCTTTTGCGGCGTGGATATATCCGTTTCCCAAATTAAAGAGCACACCTTGGGAATCGAAATGCTGTGGACGTTTGAGGTGCTTACATCTAGCGATTCCCCATAAGTCTGAATAAATTGGCCCACGTCAATATCTGAACCCAGGCAAAATGCAATTTTCAAGTCCCTATGAAGATTCAGGTCAAGGCTTTCCAAGACCTTCTCAAAGTACTTGAACAAACTCCTATCGCCGCACCACAAGACCAATGCGGTGAGTGGTTTGTGTCCCGAACACAGCTCCGCTATCTTCTCGCAGTGTGAATTTAAGACGCCGTGGACGTCCCTCTTCCACTGTCGAAGCTCTTTCACGTTGCCCTCTCCCTTCCCTCGAACAAAAAACCAATCGGTCGCCCCTTTGCACAGCTCCCTCGGAGTGTCGTTCACGGTGCTGATGTACAAACTCGTGCTGGACTTCAGCTCTTGTTCGCAGTAGGAGAACACCCCGCTGCTGTCGCTGCACGGATCAAAGTCAAACACCTTGATCCACGGGATTCTGCTCAAGGCCGTCAAGTTAGCCATGTCCGAAATGTCCATATCGAGTTTGCCAACGAGCAGGCAGTAAAACCGCTCCGTCTCGAAATTGTCTACGCTCTGCAGCAGCGACTCGCCGTGGTCACCAGAGCTCTTCTGGGGAGGCGTCTTTGGTGACGCAAACCACTCCTGAACATCCTGGAGTCGCGACTTCGTGGCGACCACTGCGTCACAGTTGACTCTCATGAACACGTGATGCCCTCGTGCCCCCGTCGCTTCCTCCTTGGCAACTGCTGGCCCGTTTTCACCCTCGCTGCTCGTTACTCTAATTATCCCGATCCTCTTTCCTTCAAACGTCTTTTCTTCGTAAGTGTATAGAGGGCGGACGGTAAAGCAGTCGTCATCAAAGAGTTCCTGGTAGTAGCTCTCAGGCAATGTTTCATTTAGCCCCTTGATCCAATTGGAACCTTTTGGCTTTTCTCTAACTCCCAGAATTATATATCCGTCTCCCAGACACGGAGTGTTCCAAAAGCTGACTACATCCTTCATAAAGTCCTCACTTTCATCCCTTGCGTAATATTCTTCTCTATACTTGATGGAATTTGTCCTCGACTGTGTTAGCAAGTAGTTTAGAAATGCATTCTCCGAGTCAGAGGGTGCTGGGGGATAAATTGAGTTGATGTTCACGTACACGTTTTTATTGTTTTGAATATCAATTGTCTGCGATTGCCCTGCGTTATGCGACTTTACTTTGCGAGGATTTTCTGTCTTCATGTGAGAGGCGTTGCTCATCGCAGGAGTATTCTGAGCCTTCTCCTCCTGTGGTGTTTGGCTACAACTTGCGTCACTCACGGGTAGTGATGCCACGAGCGTGGTTCGTGCACTTTCCACGTTGCTTGAATCAACCGTAGTTTTGTTGGTTTTTATTGGTGCTTCTACAGCTCCTGCATCCATTTTCTCGTCTTGTACGAGTTCAGAGTTAGAAGTTCCTACCCTCTGATTGGTTACAATGGGCCTTTGTATGTTTCGGTTTTGAGTATCAATGGTGTGCGATTGCCCTGCGTTACGCGACTTTGGATTGCGAAGATTTTCTGTCTTCACGCAAGAGGCGTAGCTCATCACAGGAGTATTCTGAGCCTTCACCTCCTGCGGTGTTTGACTACAATTTGCTTCACTTGCGGTTCGTGATCCTATGAGCGTGGTTTGCGTTTGTACGCTTTCCACATTGCCTGCATCAACGGTATTTCTGTGGGGTATTATCGGTGCTTCTATACCTCCTGCAATGATTGTATTGTCTCGAACAATTTCAGAGTTAGGAGTTCCTACCCTCTGATTGGTAGCAATTGACCTTTGTATGCTTCCTTTTTGAATTTGAATTGAGTGCGATTTTTGAGCTTTGCCAAACTTTGGATTGTGAGGCTTTTCTGTCTTCACGCGAGAGGCGTAGCTCATCGCAGGAGTTTTCTGAGCATTCACCTCCTGCGGTGTTAGGCTACAACTTGCGTCACTCACGGGTGGTGATCCCACGACCATGGTTTGTGCGCTTTCCACATTGCTTGAATCAACCGTAGTTTTTTTGGGTTTTATCGGTGCTTCTACAGCTCCTGCATCGATTTTCTCGTCTTGTATGAATTCAGAGTTAGAAATTCCTACCCTCTGATTGGTTACAATGGGCCTTTGTATGTTCCCGTTTTTAGAATAAATTGAGTGTGATTGCCCTGCATTACCTGACTTTGCTTTGCGAGGATTTTCTGTCTTCACTTTAGAGGCATAGCTCATAGCGCCCATATTCTGACCCTTCACCTCCTGCGGTGTTAGGCTACAACTGGCTTCACTCACAGGTGGTGATGCTATGAGCGTGGTTCGTGCACCTTCCACGTTGCTTGAATCAACCGTAGTTTTGTGGGGTATTATCAGTGCTTCTACAGCTCCTGCATTGATGTCATCATCTCGTACGAGTTCAGAGTTAGAAGTTCCTGCCCTCTGATTGGTAGCAATGGGCCTTTGTACGTTTCCTTTTTGAATTTCAATTGTGTGCGATTTCTTGCCCAACTTTGCTTTGCGAGGATTTTCTGTCTTCACGCAAGAGGCGTAGCTCATCGCTCCCATATTCTGGGCCTTCACCTCCTGTGGTGTTAGGCTACAACTTGCTTCACTCACAAGTGGTGATGCATCGAGCGTGGTTCGTGCGCTTCCCACGTTGCCCGCACCAGCGGTAGTTTTTCGCGTCTGCGTCGGTGGTTCCACATTTCCCAGAGGCGCTGCATTTTCCCGTTCCCTTGGTGCGACACGACCGCGGTCTGAAAACGGTTGACCGACGGTCAAAGCCTTCACCTTGCTTTTGCTCTCGTCAAGAATGAAATGCGACGGGTTTTTAGCGATGAAGGCGATAAGCTTCTTGCAGCCTACGTCCCTGAATGTAAAAGCGGGCCGGGTTGCGCGTCTCTCCGCCTGAAAGAGATTTCCGAGTGCATCGAGACTCATGAACTGGGGAGGATCTGGACCTTCCTGGCCATTTAAAATGTTCAAAAGGCTCCTCAATAACCACAGTGCACTGGCGTCTTCTCCCGATGAGCTCGGTCGCTCCTCCTCCTCCGTGGCGACTTCGATTCCGTCCACGTGTGACGGAGTCGCGTTGCTTCCTTCGCCTGAAGAAAGGAAAAAAAACACGATTTGTGCTCGGAAGGTAAAACACAAAACAATCAGAGAACACCATTTTCAGAAGCGATGCATTTACACCTCATCACTTGCATGGCCTCTTCCTCTGATGTTACGTTTGGAGAATGTAAAAATCCATCAACAATGCGAGTTCAACACTCCCCCCCCCACCCCCCCACCCTCGATGAAGCTTGGAGAGCCGAGTGGAGTTCAACAGAACTCACAAACACCTCCTCGTCGTCGTCATCGTTGTTGTTGTTGCGAAAGACCCAACGCAGATCCCTCGTGGTTTGATCTTCCACGAAGCTGCTCACGGTCCACCCTCACCCACTGCACAAACCATGGCAGCAGAAGATGCGGATACCTGATGCACAATTGGAAAATACATTTCATAAAACTCCCCAGTTTTTTAATTTCCAGAACTGACTGTACAACGTACGAAACTGGGATGCCCCGATCCACAAATGAGAAAAGAGATATCGTCACAGCATTTGACGGTTCACCAATCTCCTACTGCTGCTTCCGACGTGGTTGTTATCTGGGCTTGCCCAACCTGAACGTGAAATCGTAGCGGTTGCTCTGCATCTACATCAGCGGCCGCTCGAAAGTGAAAGAAGAAGATTTGGAGAGGAAGAAGATTTATAGGAGAAGATTTGGAGAAGAAGATTTGGAGAAGATCGACGAGGTTTTTATTTTTTTTATTTAAAGCTTTGGTGACTGACTCATATTCTTGGTTCTTTCTACGTGACTTTACCAAAAGAACCAAGAATATGAGGTTTTATTTGCCCGTTGGAAACAACGGAGAGACCCCATGGGGATCAGTCCACAACCGTGCGGATGGGAGGAGACATGGAGAGACAAAATGTGTAGCTTGAGAGCGCCCTCGTGAGAAAGTGATCTCGTGGGTTAGGCCTGTAACTGCGCCGTGAACCCTCCTCCACACCCAACACAGCCAGTCGGTGAGGTCAGTCACATGGATCAGAACGTGGCGATCAGTTACCACTTTGGCACCACCGCTGTGGTGATGTGTGGGAGAGAGAGATAGAAAGCAAACCCAGCACAAGCTAATATCGGTGGGCTTCACCGTGGTGCCTGGCAATTGAAGTGCCACTCGGAGGTGTTACCAGCCCCTCGCACACACCAACCCAGCTGCATACACACACCCCACTCACACCACCACCACCACTACACATTCACACACATAGCCTGCTCCACTTACACACATAGCCTGCTCCACTTACACACACACAGCCTGCAACACACACACACACAGTCTGCACCTATAGTCTGCACAACACGCGCACACACCCCACACCCAACTCACACCAAAGACAAAGGTCCCCAATGTAGCCTGTAACAGACTGTAGGGGCAAGTGCTGTTAGCGAGTAGCACCTATGAAGGCCGGCACAGCACGAGGGATTGGGTGGCCAGCACCATGCCCGAACGCCTTTGTCTCCCCACTAGCGATGTTTACTACACCGCCAACGCTAGACCAGCTACTCATTTGAGGCCCAGGACCGGTTCAGATAATCGTCACTTGATGTTGGCCGTGAGCGGGAATCGAACTCGGGTCGCTGGGTTTGTAGCACAGCGTAGCGCTAACCGCTACACAACCGCTCCCCACTTTCACATCTACACACACACTCACCACCACACACTCACCACCACCACCACACCACCCACTGTCACACCCACAATTACCCAGTAGGGGGCACAGCTGACCTAATTCGAGGCTACATCTCGAGTTTTCATTAATTCAGAAATGTTCGGTTCAAACCAAACCAGGGTGGACGTTCATCACTTTATTCCACGCTTGTTTACGGGGGCCATGATGTTTGGCAATTTTTTTTTTAGGAATTGGTTCTTAAAATTCGTCTAATCACTTAAAAAAAGAAACTGGTATTTTTTTTTACTCAGCGTATCCCGGTCAGAATGGACGGTGTCGTGCGGAAATGCCTGAAGGTGAAGAAACGTTCTAAAGACCGTTTTGTAATGACTTTGTGGGGCATTTTAGTTCTCTTTGCATGACGACTGCCAAACACAAATGGCGCGAATCACTGACATGATGACCCAAGGCGCCCACTTTTTTTAAATGTGCTGGGTGCATTTGTTCGGAATGACATCAAGCGTGGATGGACGTTATGATCCGAGTTGTTATTTTACTTACGCTGGGTCTAGCGGTCGAAGCAATACATTTATTTAGATTGCACCGGTTTGTAAAGTCGACTGAGTCACGTGGTAGGTCTAGCCAATTCCGACTTAGGCTCCCTACAATTGATAGTTCACCATATTGCAATGGGCGACGTCGTTTTACCCTGGGATTCATTTGATATTTGACTATTTGGTGGTCCTATAGCAACAGGTCACAGTAAACAGTTCGGTTCCCAGGAGGATAAATCACGACTGCGGTACGTTCAAAAGAGCCCGGGTCGGATACAGCAGGAAGCTGAATGCAAGGGCGGTCATTTTTTCACATATACTGCCAGGCCTACTCCTCGACATTATTATACCCTTCAACTTCCTATTAGGCTAGGAGCTACACGGGAGGTAAGCCATGCCTCGGACAGACAGCAGGCAGGCAGAAGATGTCCGGGCAAAGATAATCATTATTGAATTCAATTTTGAATTGTTCAAATTTAGCTGTGAGGGCCCCTAATGTTGACACGGACAGTGCCAAGACCCCTGTCTGTTTTTTGTTTGAGTTAAATCTGTTGAGTTTGAAGGCGAAGCGATGGAGAAGATGCGGCAGTAATGGGACCGGGATTGGTTGTCAACACCTGACCTAAATCAACAGTTTAACTATCGACAGTTCCTTGCCATGTTACGTTGTCGCAGAGTGGCCGTCCTAAGCGGCGCTCTCCTGACACGCAGCGAGGCGTGACTAGGAGATGATTTTCAAGCTTCGGGTGACCCGTGGGGGTGCCTCGTGAAGTGAATCCATTTTCGCGTGGCGACCGCTCGGCTGGACAACGAAGTCATACTGTCTCACTCTCTCACTGTCTCACTGTCTCGCTGTGTCACTGTCTCGCTGTCTCAATGTCTCGCTGTCTCGCTGTCTCGCTGTCTCACTGTCTCATTGTCTCACTGTCTCATTGTCTCATTGTCTCACTGTCTTCGTGTCTCACTGTCTCATTGTCTCACTGTCTTCGTGTCTCACTGTCTCATTGTCTCATTGTCTCACTGTCTTCGTGTCTCACTGTCTCATTGTCTCATTGTCTCATTGTCTCACTGTCTCACTGGCTCATTGTCTCACTGTCTCACTGTCTCGCTGTCTCATTGTCTCACTGTCTTCGTGTCTCACTGTCTCATTGTCTCATTGTCTCACTGTCTCACTGTCTCACTGTCTTCGTGTCTCACTGTCTCATTGTCTCATTGTCTCACTGTCTTCGTGTCTCACTGTCTCACTGTCTCATTGTCTCATTGTCTCACTGTCTCACTGTCTTCGTGTCTCACTGTCTCATTGTCTCACTGTCTTCGTGTCTCACTGTCTCACTGTCTCACTGTCTCGCTGTCTCAAAGTCTCACTGTCTTCGTGTCTCTTCGTTTTGTCGTTCTCGTCGTAACCGAACATGAGCTCGTCACGGCGCGTTGCTGGGCGGCTCAACCAGGCGATGCAGTCTCATGGACAACGATCCCAACGCAACGGAACCATTTAGGTGGGGACATCACGCTGGTCTCCAGGAGGTTGTGGGTTTCATCCCGACCCTGACGCCTGATGCTGCTGCTGTATATTTGGAGTCTGCGTCTCTCTCTCTCTCATCATCATCATGGTGGCCAGGAGATGTTAACTACCTCGCCTGGTCTACAGGAGGTCGTGGGTTCCATCCCGACCCTGACGCCTGCTGCCGCTGCTGTATATTTGGAGTCTGTTTCTCTCTCTCTCTTTTCCCGTGGTCGTGTGGATTTTTCTCTGGCTCCTGTGGTTTCACCCCCCCCCCCCCCCACATTTAGAATCAACGTCACCACGCATTTAGGGTATTTTGCCTGTTGTAGATTTCCACGTGATGAAGATGATGAGCCCACTTCGCTGAGCTATCATTTGTGATGGGCAGGTCGCTTCTGAAAAAAGATCTACACAGCTCAGTGGGGCCTTCCCCGTAAAAAGATAAAATGTCTTTAGTTTCGACTTAATGAGGGAAATCCTGGCGATGGGCGGGTGAGAAAGGGTTGATGTCTCCTTTCTAAGGCTCAAAATCGAGTGGCACAAATGGATTGTTATCAATGCACTCGATACGCCACGTATAGTAGACACTTAACATTGACTCACCTTGGCTTGCCTTCCGTCTTGCGCTGGAATCATTGCTCCGCAAAGTGACCGGTGGGTCGGGCGAGATTATGTTTATCAAAGGTCCTGCGAAAGTGAACGTACAAAAAAAATTACTCTTGATATGTAAAATTAAAAAGTTAAATACCGAGGCACAATGCAATTAGAGTCATCTTCTATTTGCACTGCAGGGGTTCACTGAACTGGTCCACGTCGCTCCTCGGCCGAATACTAAACGGGAGCATTGGCAGTACAATCAGAGCAGCGAGCCACACCCAGGGCGGGGGGTCCACATGAAACAGTTCCAGAGGTGCGAGTCTATAAACTACACTATACACTACACTATACACTACACTACTATACACTATACACTACTCTACACTACACTATACACTACTATACACTACACTACTATACACTACACTATAAACTACACTATACACTACACTATACACTACACTACTATACACTACACTACTATACACTACACTACTATACACTACACTATTATACACTACTATACACTACACTACTATACACTACACTATACACTACACTACACACTACACTATACACAACATTACTATACACTACACTACTATACACTACACTATATACTACACTATACACTACTATACACTACGCTATACACTACTATACTATACACTACACTATAAACTACACTATACACTACACTATACACTAAACTACAATACTATACACTACACAATACTATACACTACACTATACACTACACTATACACGACACTATTATACACTACACTATACACGACACTACCATACACTACACTATACACGACACTACTATACACTATACACTACTATACACTACACTACTATACACTATACACTACTATACACTACACTACTATACACTACAGTATACACTACACTACACACTACAGTATACACTACACTACACTACACACTACACTATACACAACATTACTATACACTACACTACTATACACTACACTATACACTACACAATACACTACACTACTATACACTACACTATACACTACTATACACTACACTATACACTACGCTATACACTACTATACTATACACTACACTATACACTACACTATAAACTACACTACACTATACACTACACTATACAATACTATACACTACACTATACAATACTATACACTACACTATACACTACACAACTATACTATACACACACTATACACTACACAACTATACTATACACTATACTATACACTACACTATACACGACACTACTATACACTGCACTATACACGACACTTCTATACATGACACTACTATACACTACACTATACACATACTATACACTACACTACAATACTATACACTACACAACTATACAATACACTACACTATACACTACTATACACTAAAATACTATACACTACACAACTATACAATACACTACACTATACACTACACAACTGTACAATACACTACACTATACACTACACAACTATACAATACACTATGACTGCCAATTGGCACCACGTCCTTGTCACGTGACGCAAACCTCCTCAGCGATTGGCTGTGCCGTGCGGTGTGGGCGGGCTTAACGACGATCCAACCCAAAAGACAAGAACCTTATCATGGACGCAGTTTGTTTACTTACAACAACAACAAAATCCCCTCACCTGTGTGGTAGCAGATCGCGTTCAAGACATTCCCTCGTCCAATCTGAACGTTTGAGGAATTTGAAATGTGAGCGAGGGTGGTGCTGTGCCTTGGGTTGCGCTGTTCATCCTCGTCGGACAGCTCCTGAATAAACACAAAGACAAAGATCCCCCGTGTAGTCTCAGCAGACTGTAGGGGCAAGTGCTGTCAGTAGCACCTACACACAAAGATCCCCCGTGTAGTCTCAGCAAACTGTAGGGGCAAGTGCTGCTAGTAGCACCAACACACAGACAAAGATCCCCCAGGTAGCCTCTAGCAGGCTGTAGGGGCAAGTGCTGCTAGTAGCACCTACACACAGACAAAGATCCCCCGTGTAGCCTCTAGCAGGCTGTAGGGGCAAGTGCTGTCAGTAGCACCTACACACAGACAAATATCCCCCGTGTAGCCTCTAGCAGGCTGTAGGGGCAAGTGCTATTAGCGACCACCTATGAAGGCCGGCACAGCCCACAACGGGGTGGGTGGCCAGCACCACGCCCGGTCGCTTTTGTCTCCCCATTGGCGATGTTTACTGCACACGCAGAGACCCATAGAGATACATAGTGACACACACAGAGATTCACAGAGATTCAGAGACCCACAGATACCCATATAAATACATAGACACACACAGAGACTCAAAGAGATACAGAGACACACAGAGACCCATAGAGATACATAGCGACACACACAGAGACTCAAAGATACAGAGACCCACAGAGACCCATATAAATACAGACACACACAGAGACTCAAAGAGATACAGAGACACGCAGAGACCCATAGAGATACATAGTGACACACACAGGGACCCACAGAGACCCATATAAATACATAGACACACACAGAGACTCAAAGAGATACAGAGACACACAGAGACCCATAGAGATACAGAGAGCCACAGAGACCCATAGAGATACATAGACACACACACAGACTCACAGAGATACAGAGACCCACAGAGACCCATAGAAATACATAGACACACACAGAGACTCATAGAGATACAGAGACACACAGAGACCCATAGAGATAGAGAGACCCACAGAGACCCATAGAGATGCATAGACACACACAGAGACTCATAGATATACAGAGACCCACAGACACCCATAGAGATACATAGACACACACAAGAGACTCATAGAGATACAGAGACACACAGAGACCCATAGAGATAGAGAGACCCACAGAGACCCAAAGAGATGCATAGACACACACAGAGACTCATAGATATACAGAGACCCACAGAGACCCATAGAGATACATAGACACACAGAGACACCATAGAAATGCATAGACACACACAGAGATTCATAGAGATACATAGACACACAAAGGCCCATAGAGATACAGAGACCCACAGAGACCCATAGAGATACATAGACACACACACACAAAAACCCATAGAGATACATAGACACACAAAGACCCATAGAGATACAGAGACACACACAGAGAATCATAGAGATACATAGACACACAAAGACCCATAGAGATACAGAGACCCACAGAGACCCATAGAGATACACAGAACACATAGAGATCCACAGAGATACATCGAGGCACACAGACACCCAGAGATGCATCGAGACACCCAGAGACCCATGGAGACCCATAGAGATATCCACAGATGCAGAGAGAGATGCACAGAGACGTCAGCTGCTGAACTCATCGGTGGTGATGACGCCACGAGACAAGGGCCTCCAACCGAGCTGCGATGCAGTTTGCCCGCCTTTCATTGTTAGAAGCGACCCCCTGGGTTATGAAGAGGCGAAGTTGCTCTGACATCACCACCCCCATCACCACCACCATCACCATCATCACCATCATCATCACCACCTCCATCACCACCACCATCATGATCACCACCCCCATCACCACCATCACCACCACCACCACCATCATCACCACCCCCATCACCACCACCATCATCATCACCACCCCCATCACCACCACCATCATCATCACCACCACCATCATCACCACCACCACCATCATCATCACCATCAACAACCCCATCACCATCACCACCCCCATCACCACCCCCATCACCATCATCACCACCACCATCATCACCACCACCACCATCATCACCACCACCAACCCCATCACCAACCCCATCACCATCACCACCATCATCACCACCCCCATCACCACCCCCATCACCACCACCATCATCATCACCACCCCCATCACCACCACCATCATCATCACCACCACCATCATCACCACCATCATTACCATCACCAACCCCATCACCACCCCCATCACCACCCCCATCACCATCATCACCACCACCACCACCATCATCACCATCACCAACCCCATCACCATCACCACCCCCATCACCACCATCATCACCACCCCCATCACCACCACCACCATCATCACCACCACCAACCCCATCACCCCCCCCCCCCCATCACCATCACCACCCCCATCACCACCATCATCACCACCCCCATCACCACCACCACCACCATCATCACCACCACCACCAACCCCATCACCATCATCACCACCCCCATCACCACCATCATCACCATCATCATCACCACCTCCATCACCACCACCATCATGATCACCACCCCCATCACCACCATCACCACCACCACCACCATCATCACCACCCCCATCACCACCACCATCATCATCACCACCCCCATCACCACCACCATCATCATCACCACCACCATCATCACCACCACCACCATCATCATCACCATCAACAACCCCATCACCATCACCACCCCCATCACCACCCCCATCACCATCATCACCACCACCATCATCACCACCACCACCATCATCACCACCACCAACCCCATCACCAACCCCATCACCATCACCACCATCATCACCACCCCCATCACCACCCCCATCACCACCACCATCATCATCACCACCCCCATCACCACCACCATCATCATCACCACCACCATCATCACCACCATCATCACCATCACCAACCCCATCACCACCCCCATCACCACCCCCATCACCATCATCACCACCACCACCACCATCATCACCATCACCAACCCCATCACCATCACCACCCCCATCACCACCATCATCACCACCCCCATCACCACCACCACCATCATCACCACCACCAACCCCATCACCCCCCCCCCATCACCATCACCACCCCCATCACCACCATCATCACCACCCCCATCACCACCACCACCACCATCATCACCACCACCACCAACCCCATCACCATCATCACCACCCCCATCACCACCATCATCACCATCATCACCACCATCATCATCACCACCACCATCATCACCACCACCATCATTGTGGTGTAGACTTTAACAACAGCCTAGCAAGCTGCGACCGAGTTTACCATTCGGCGTCTGCACAGCGCGGATGTCGGGACAGGCGAAAGTGGAACAGGAACCTCGCTTCCTGAGTGGGGGGGGGGGTCACGACGCCCCGGCACTCACCACTAGGGGGCGTCCATTGAGTACGGAACGCAAAAATCTGTCGCAACTCGACCCCTCTCCCTGTACGCACGCCGCTTGACGCCCCCCAGACCCCCCGAGAATCCTATAGAACGGCCGATATTTAATCCACGCAGAAACGATCAGTATGAGAATAATTGTTCCCCTTGTTTCTGTCAACAAAACAGTCGTGTTAAGATACTCGTTGGTTCTTTCGGTAAAGTCACGGAGGTAGAAAAATAAAATTAAAAAAATAATCACGACGTTTCGATCGCAACACTAAGCGATCGTCCTCAGGAAGAAAAAAAATTAATCCAGCTGTGGAACCGCTGAACCAGGGAATCATGTCCGCATTAACCACAATGCTTGCGGTCACAATGCAAAAAACATGCTCTGACAGCCCGATACATTGTGTGGGGGAGACTGCCCCCCATCTCCCCGCTCATCTGCGACCCACCGCTCTCCGACTCTCCCCCCCTCGCTGCGGTCCCTCGAGGCATGATTTAAAGGGCTGTACGAACCACCTCGCAAATACGCAGCTGAGCCCCTCTCGCACACGCTAACCAGGAGCCGCGCAGTGGCGAGCGCACCCACGCGGGTAGAATACCCGCTCGTGCGAAAACACAGGGAACCACAGCGAGCAGCCTCACAACACCATGCACCTCTCTCCGTACTCGCAGAGACGACACGACAAGGTTTAATGACTACTGGCGATTTATTCTCCGATTAATTGAAGTTAATCTACCCGTGTCAGTGTGAGCCAGCAGGGCAGGTCTAACCTATCTCCCGGCGGTCTAGAACTCAATTTGCCTGGTCTCTCCCTACTCACTCTCCCTAAGGGATATTCCCCTTTGTCTTACCTCTCTCCTCCGTACTTACGATCCGATCTCGAGGTGTAGGAAGTCGCGGAAAGGCGAGGCTGCACGTGGCTTTTGCTGGGAACTGGGCCTGGTTGCTCTGCGACCCGTCTCACGGACGTTCCCGTAGCAGGGGCACAGTGACTCCTCCGCTCCCTCTCTCCAGAAGAACCCGAACAAAAGAGACCTTAAATTTCGATTTACAGCTTTCGTGACTGCAATGATTCATCTTCTTTGGTTCTTTCGGTAAAGTCACGTAGAATGAGAATAAAATAATAAATTGATAAAATAAAATAACACAAAAATAACACAAAGAGACCTTGCCCCTAACTTCCCTCCCTTTTCATCGCCCCTACATCAAAGCTTCCGTGCCGCTAATCCGCTGGCCTCTCGTCCAATCCGGAGCCTCGGATTTCCTGCTCTTTGTTAATCGGATCGGTGCTCTCTCCGACGTCCGCCCCCTGCACAAGCTGTGCTGTTCCGCCGCTCGCTACTCTTCCCCACCCCCGCACCTACCTTCCGACCCGTGTCGAGTGTGGATGTTTTCTATTCGCGGTGGCTCAGCAGCCCCCGTCGTGACCGTGTGATCACAACCCAAGTCACGTCGCCGCGGTGTGCGCTAGCCTCGGGGGAGGTCGCTCAATTCCCTGGTCGCAGGAAAACGCGAAGTTCCGTCCCATCAGAGGGCTCCTGGGTAAAAACATGTCGGCCAGGTGACCTCCCCTCAGGGCTCTATGTGGGTGTGCGTGTGTCTGTGTGTGTCTGTGTGTGTGTGTCTGTGTGTGTGTGTCTGTGTTTGTGTTCATGTGGGGGGTGTGGTGGGGGAAGCGCTGTGACGGAAGCCGGGTGGCTTCGTGGCTGCGGCACCCCCGCCACAGGCGCGGCTCCCACGGAGCGGCTTCGTTTCTGTGGCACCACAATTGTCCTTGAAACTGATTGGTCCACACCAGAGACAGCTTTCTTTTGAGCCTCGTCTCAAACGGTGTTAGACCAGAGGACGCCAAAAGGCGAACAGCACAAAGACAACGCCACCATCAGCACATTGAGAGCTTGGGGTGAGAATCTATATCATGGGACCTCCTTTGCCAGTACCAAAATATGATAATAGTTTTTTTTGCGGAAATTATCAGAGTATGTTTTTTTGTTTGCATTCTCACCAAAAGCATTGTGGTTAATGCAGACATTATTCCTTGTAAAAGGTTTCAGTTTGGTGTTTTAACATCTTAACACAGCTGTTTTGTTGCCAGAAAAGAGGGGGAAAACCTATTATAATATTAACGAATTCCACACAACTATTTTTCTCTATTTAAGGGCTCGACACAGAGGCATTGTCTTTCTGTTTGTCTTGGTGTGTTTCTCGCTCTGTGTGTCTGTGTGTGTCTCTGTCTCTGCATGTGTCTGTCTGTGTGTCTCCGTGTCTGTGTTTTGTCTCTCTCTCAAATTTAGCAATTTTTGGAAGAACGTAATCAACCAGGTAGGGTGTGGACTGTTGTGTTTGCCGATTCTCTGTGTTGTATTGTGTTTCTAAGTTTACTATTTTTATTTTATTATTCATTTTTACCTGATGATGGTTGCTTGTGTTGCAATCGAAACGTCGTCTTCTATTATTATTTGATTTTATTTTCCACGTCACTTTACCGAAAGAACCAAAGAGTAATTCCTGCAATCACGAAAGCTTCGAATCTAGTTATAATGTGAACATGTTTAAGCAAACAGATAGTCCACAAATCTTGATTTGAAGCTTTCGTGACTGCAGGAATCCTTACTCTTTGGTTCTTTCGGTAAAATCACCGCCGCACTATCTAACTGTATACACACAAAGACACGTGTACACACACACACACACGTGTACACACACACACACTCGTGTACACACACACTCGTGTACACCCACCCCTTGCAGTGCACTGAGTCTTGGTGCTGCAGTGGAACCCAACGATCATGCGATGCAGATGTTACTCACGTCTGACATGGCTATTGTTCGTAATGTTCTGTCCCACGAGAGATATGGGGGTGCGTGCTTATACAGGATCTTCCTGGTGTGAGGGTGCTGAGTTTGGTAACGTGACCAGGAAGTTCTGGGTTAAGGGTCTCTAAGCCACGAGGCCAGCAGGGGGTATCGGCCATTGCACAGAGGACAACGTGGATGCACAATTAGCGTCTCAGTGAAAATGGGTGCATCTGTGCATTGCGGGACTCTGAGAAGCATTGTCTCCCTCATCAAGACTCTATACCATAGAGCCCAATGCATTTCCGACCAGGAACACATTACCAGTGAACTCAAGCACGTACACCAGGCTCTCAGGGCTAATGGTTACTCTGATTACACAATCCGCAAAGCCATCACTCCAGTCATGAAGAAGGATCCTCTTGTGGAGCCACTCAAAACCATCACCTTACCCTACATTGCAGGGGTCACTAAAAAGATCTCCAAAATCCTGAATAAACACAAGATCCAGGTCCGATTCAACACAGTACATAAAATCCGTGATCTGGTTCCATCTGTAAAAAGATGCTGTTCCAGACATACAGTACCCGGGCATTTACAAACTAAAGTGCCTCTGTGGTAGTAGCTACATTGGAGAAACCAAACGACATATCTCGGACCGCATCCACGAACATAAAGCAGACTTGAAACACGGTAGAACGAACTCCTCTGCCGTGGCAGATCACTGTTATAATTCAGTGGGCTCACATGACATTTACTTCTCCAAGACGGAGGTTATTTGCAAACCAACCGGCTACCATGAGAGATTCGTTCATGAGGCCATTCACATATGCAAGCACAGAGACAATTTCAACCGAGAAGATGGATTCTGGCTTAGTAGCCATTGGAAAGATTTTTTAGACCATTTCCATTCTTAATTAATTGTATTTTACGATGACCTTCAGACCGCAGCTCTTTTGCTGGCATTGACTCTTAATACCTCTCACACCACGGTTAATGATATGGTTTACAACATGGAGTATAACAGCGCCTCGCAGCTGTCTCTCTCCCCCTCCTCCGTTCCGACCATGGATGAACTCGTCCGTCTGAACGGGGCTCGTAGCTATCCGTGGTGCTAAAGTTGAGGTTAAGAATCCACCCATTTTTTCGCCATATAGCATTGTGATATATAACGACTTATTGTTGGTATCTTAGCTGATTGGAGAATATATAGAGTTTATTGATAACATTGAGGTTATTTATATTTTAGTTTTTTATTGGTTTACTATATAGTATTCATTATATAGTGTAGTGTATACCTAGTTACTGTTAATAGCTCAGATGTGTAGGCTTTGACTTTAACATAGCCATTTCTGTGACCAGTCACAAGCTAATCACTCAGTTATTTCAATGCTAAATTCTCCTGTTTGATTTGTACTAGGTGCCTCTGTAGATGTGTAGGCTTTGACTTTAACATAACTATTTCTATGACCAGTCGCAAGCTAATCCCTCAGTTATTTCAATGCTAAATTCTCCTGTTTGATTTGTACTAGGTGCCTCTGTGATTGTGTATGCTTTGACTTTAACATAGCCAGTTCTGTGACCAGTCACAAGCCAATCACTCAGCTATTTCAATGCCAAATTCTATGCTAATTCCTTTGTCAAGGGGTGTCTCTGTGGATGTGTATGCTTTGACTTTAATATAGCCATTTCTGTGACCAGTCACAAGCTAATCACTCAGCTTTTTCAATGCTAAATTCTATGCTAATTCCTTTGTCAAGGCGCTCTGTTTCTTCTCACACAGCTTAAAGGTCGCGATCTGAGCGTGGCTGTGTTCGCTCCAGCGCTGTCCTCCAGACAGTCTCGTCCCTTCACCTGATGAAGGCCGCTTGTGTTATGGCCGAAACGTCGTGAGAATTTTATTGCGTTATTTTATTTTATCAATTTATTATTTTATTCTCATTCTACGTGACTTTACCGAAAGAACCAAAGAACATTGTCTGTAAGTTCGCTTATGTTCTCATAATGCTGGGGAATGCTGTAATAATGTTGGTATTCCCGTTATAATGCTGTCAATGCCCTTAGAATGCTGTGTAATTGTTGCTATGAATATGGGGCCTAGTTAACAACGACGCCTGAATGTTTTTGTCAGTTGGATAAGTCGAGACAGGCTTGTGCCCCTGTAACT